TACGTCTACAGTTAACATGACTGTAGCAGGAGAATTAGTCAGACGTGTTTGTCCCGAGTTGTAAATGAATAAGGTCTAGCCTCACGTGTGTTTTCACTTGAGTTTCTTTACTCAGGTTAACTTGGTGAGACTCAGAAGAATAGAAAAAAACATTAAAAAAATCTCATGTAATATTTTCAGAATTAAGGTCATAATAATCCATTTAAGATGTTTAAAATAACCCAGCAGTTAGTAGTTGTAAACCTGAGTGTACGAGGAAACTCCTTACTGTTGCAGGACTTCTGACTTTGCTGTGTTTTCTCTGTAGGGCCTCGGTGTGTCTGGTGGAAGTCAGGCTGGCTTGGGGACTCCTTCATCCAGGCAGTACGCACGACAGAAAATAACTCGCGTAAACCTCAGGGACTTCATCTTCTACATGGAACAGGAAAGAGAAACGAGCCATTCTCTCCTGCTCTATCGAGCTCTGCTTAAATAAAGCCAAGAATTGTACCGATTCCTCCATACAGAAGCTCAACTTGCATTGAAAAGCTGTCATTTTAATGTGCCTTCTATTTTTTTCAGAAGTCAATGTTCCAGTAATTTTGTTTTGTAAAATTGTCAGACACATGCAATAAATTCTTTATGTAAAAAAAAAGATAATTATAAAAACACAAAAAAATGTGCAAAAGGTTTTAAAATGTTAAATCCACAGATATAACCAACATCAGCGTCTTGCTCCGTTTGATGAGGCTGAAGGAGGCGGCGTTGAAGTTACGCAAATGGGAAGACTGCTGCAATGGCTCACCTGAACCCTCTGACGGCAAGGACTGCGAGGGGTTCGCAGGGTGGGGACCTAACCACGGTGTTAACCTGTATGTTCACTTACGGTGCTGGTTTTGTTTTCTTTTTAGTTTTACTAGCACTGTTTCCACTGACTAACCATGGTGATACCTGTTATTTCAGATTAGTTCTAACTGCAATTTTTTGCACAGCTAAAGAGAACAGCCACTGCACGCTCTCACAAATTTTATATATTTAGGATTTTTGCTTTTACTGTACAGCTCATTTCCTGAGCCAAATCCTAAGTGTATGAAATCTGTGTGTTTGGGTCCCAGCGGAGTTACCTTGACTAGCTTCCAGTTGTTTTCTCTATCTCTTCAACCTTTTGCACATTTGTAGCAACCGGTTAGTAACATGAATCAAGGTTGGGTTTTATTTTCTAAAAAAAAAAAAATAAATCTTAATTTATTTATTGCAGAGTATGGTTTAATGGTGGTTTTAAAAGAGAGTATTGTTCAGTAAAGATTTTAGAGTATTCTATATGGATTTTTAAAGTCACTGTAAAGGAAGTTTTTGGGGTCCGGTTGCACTCTTAAGAGAGGAGAGCAGGGGTGAGGAGCCCTGGCAGCCCAGTGCCGCCAGGAGGTCGGGGCAGTGCCGCAGGGATGGGCGATGCCTTTGCCTTGGACGATTGGACCCGAGGACTTCAGTCCGGAGAGGCTCATGAACAAGCGCATGACTTTAAGCGTAATGAGTAGTTTTAAGTACTTAAAGGTGGCATGAATGCTTTTTAAATGCTTTGCTGAATTGGAGTTTAAAGGGCCCACACAAAAGCCAAGCGAAGTTAGTGTGAGTCTTTTAAATGGGTACCGGATGGGAATATGAAGCAGGCAGGTGGGCACCAGTTGTGCTTCAAATGTAACAGTATTATCAGTAACCATGGAAGGGAGACATTTGCTTATTTATCTTTTTAATTTTTACTATGTTATGCTTGCCACTTTTTTGAGGCAATATTTTTTTTTTTTTTTGGATGGGAAACCATAGCGAAAGCACAAATAGAACTATTTGTCCAATAGTTTTAAAAACAAAGGTTTTAATTATTTTTTAAGGTTTATGAAAAGCAGAAGAAAATTTATACTGCTGCTATTTAGCCAAAAGATTATTCATAAGGTATTTAAGGCCAGGAAGTGTAAAATTATGTTTTAAATGTATTGATAATTTGTACATATTGTTTATAAAGGCCTTGTGTTTATTAGAATTACGTTATTTTGATGATTTCTGTACATACTCGTAAATACCCCCAATTTGTGTGAAAACATACTCCCTTATTTGTACTTATTTTGTAAAGAAATAAAACATTTACTAAAGTAACACATTGAGTGACATACAGTATTAATTTATCAAACATGAATTTCACATTGTCTTGCAGTTCTTAAGCACTGTTCAGCAACATTTTGCATTAAAATATTAACAGAATACCCACAAAGAAATATTAAAACCAAGTACTTCAATGTTTTGTTGTGCTGATTCTTATCCTTTGTCAAACATCTATTAAAATTGTCAACAAACCTCGATGCTATTAATACAGTGAATGAATGCACTCAACAGTTGCTTTCTCAAAAGCGGTTACTCCAATAAGCACAACATAACATTCTCTCTTTCGCTTTCTTTCCACGACCCGGGAGCACAGTGGTGTAACTGGGTTGTACAGAAAAGTGCTAGCGAAGGCTCCTGATCTTCAAGCCACAGTTTCAGTGCTCAGCAACAGAGAATCGGAACAATTTTGTTCCATGGAATTAGGTGAAAAAACAGACTACATTTACTTTTTGGCCTTCATAATAAAAACATTTGCTGGCTGCGCACCACAGCTTTACTGGAGTTTCTGTCGTATTTTAAAACCTGTCGTAGCGATGCTGAGCAATGTTCTTAATTAAGTTACGTTGCTACGGTTTAAGGCCAGAAGTAAAAATTCAAATCAGTTTTGTGCTGATAATGCTGCCTAAAAATATAGGGAAATAAGTAAAAAAGATATAAATGAAACTGTAATAAACTTTTAAATAAGTGACCTGAAGTTACTAACTAAAAGAACATGTCCTAGCTTAACTTTTTTTTTTTAAAGGCATATTTCTTCTAACAAAGTGATTGTTTCCACATGTCTTCCTTGCCTTAGTGCTATTTTGCAGTCAACGCTGTGATGTCATGGCTCAAACTTTCCATCTCAAGTTCACATTTAGCTCGGCTGCCGCAGCCTGGAACCCTTTACGATGCCACCTTAGCAAGCTGCCCCGAGTACCGGAGCTGCTTTATTGAGCTATAAAAAAAATAGAGTAAACAGCAAACTGAAGAAAACCCAACCAACCAACCACAAATACTCCCAATGTTCTACACAGACCTAAAAGCATCACCCTGCTGCCTGCCCGCGCCGTCGGCGGGAGCGGGCCGTGCTCAGCACTCGGCGGGTGCTGGGCGCCTGGTCCCGCTCCGCAGGCAGCCCCTCTGACCTCGGCGGGCCTGGCCCGAGGACGAGTGGCAGAACGAGGCCGCCGTGGATCAGTGCAGACGGGGGTGTCGGCCTTCTCCCCTGGCCGGGGGGTGACGCAGGGAGAGGCTGCGCCGACAGGCGAGGGCTCAGCCGCTCTCGTGCTGACGCTCCTCTTCAGGAGGGCAGGACAAAAGTGTATATAGGAGAAACAGAGGAAGCTAAATGGATTATTTAAGGATACTTTGAACTTCAAGTGAACTCAACGTATGAAAATAATAAATAAAACACTTGGGTTTTTTTCTTTCTGTAAGACATGGCTACATCAAGCTGAATGGAGCAAAAGGCCAGAGGAGACGCAATCAAAAATTCTCACCTCTTTCAAACAATGTGGGAGATACAGTGAGTGTTCCACCCTACTTGCTTATTTTCGATCGTTTACTTTACAGAAATGTTTATGGCATGAAGTACTGTATAAGAAATGTGCATACACAAATACATGACAATTATACGTTAAGTTCTTTACAATATTAAATGTATAATATACAATTCTACAGATATCTTACATACAAAGGTGAATGTTGTGCCATATATTCAAATATGGCAAAGCCTAGCAACTTTAGAATGTCGTACAAGTATAAAACCACAAAATAAAATAACTTTACAACTCCTTTAAAGTAGACAGATTTGCTCAACTGTTCTGCTAAGTTAGCAGGCCAACACGTATCGGCTAAGATTTCCAGAAGAGATTTCTGAGTTGGGTAACCAAGGTGAGAAAACCTGCAGAGGTCCGATTTTCCACGGACAGGTATCCAGCCCTTTTCCAAAAATTAGACCCCTGTCTAGATTGTACCTTGGATAGTCAGTACAGCTCATCGCTTTTGAAAATACTAGTCTTAAGCAGGTTTGTGGGTTGTTTTTTTTTTTATTTTGCCTGATTGTAACCGTTTGGCATTAAAGAATTGTTGACCACTTCATACTCTGTCCCTTGTTCTATATGGCCGTTATTTATGCATCTAAAAAGAGTTTAATTAAAATTCAGCATCTACAACAGTATTCTATAAATTAATGTGGGAGAACTAAATTGCGATTAACACATGAATTAGTTATTGAGGACCCAATCATGCTAAACAGCAATAAACAGGATTTAGCAGAATGCTATTTATAACCTTGCACCTGCAAACATGGTGCTGTCTCCTGAGTTAGGAAGCCCTGCAAGTCAGAGTCGATACCGATTCATGGAAGCAGCAGTAACCTCCTGCAGACAGCGGGCTTCGTTAGAAGAAAATTACACAGATAGAGGGCAGCTACAGAATTGGTATTTTAGTAATAGTTTAAAATAATAGAGGAAAAACAACCTAAATGAAAGGTGGCCTGCTGTCATCGGACAATGGCAGTAGAGGCTTTTAACATCTTTTTGCAAAAATTCCAGACCCATAAAGAGTAGGCTTGTCCAAAATTCTTAACGTCTCCTCCTAAATGTGGGCTTATAACATGGTTAGTAACAGAGTAACAAGGGGTGGCAGAGCTGGCTTGGCAGAACCACACTTCTTTGATGATGCAAAACTTAACAGTTTCTGAGTCACAAGACTGGCTTTAAGAGAACTACAGCTCCACATTAGGTACGTGACCCTTGTGTGATGGTGGATGGCATTTTACTTTGTGCTTCCAGATCCCTACTTTTGCAAATATTGCCATAATGGGCCTTGTCAAATTTTTTTGTTGCGTTTTTGTTTCATTTGTGTGGGCTTTTTTAGTACTGAGCACCAGTTGACTATAAATCGGTCCTTTTCTGATTCTGGATTCTGTCCAGAGAGAGATATTTCAGTTGGAAATGGTGTATAAAAATAAGCCATTTGCTAGCATGAGTGAGTACAATCACAGAAGTGTAACGTAACGTATGGAGGTGTAAAGCACGTCTGATATGAAGGAGGTGCGGCAGTCAGGGAAGATAGTCAGTGCAGTTTTTAGTGTACCGTCTTCCTCTTGGAGGCGCCCACTTCCATGCATCCCAGCATTGCGGTATCGTTGGAAAGGCTGTCGGAACCGTTTCTCCTGCTGATCTGTTCAAATTGCTTTAATTTCTTTAATTTGTCTTTCTACGCAAGTCCAATCTAGCGTCAGGGGTTTATGAAGCTTTGCCTTTTTCACCACCACAGCTGTTCAGCCCACAGTACATTCCCAGCAGGCCTGGTACGCTGAGCAGGCTCAGGAATTTCATCGTGAAAAACGGACAACTGGTTTTTCAAATGCATTTCATGGCTGGCTATGTGACAGGTAGTTTCAGAATACCACTAATTGGCAACATAAAGTCAAGATCTGTTTGCTAATACTGTTTTTGCAAATCCTTAGTGTTTCACATAAGGGACTATTAAACACTTCTACGGTTACAAAGGAGTAAGGGAAGAGTCTAGTCCAGGGGCTCCTGTTTTATTCTGATTGTTGGGGTAGGTTGTGGTCGTCTGTCTTCACGACACAGCACGTATTCACTGAACTGAGAGGAATCCACCCCACCACCACATGAAGCTGCCACGTTAAATCCTTTCTGAAATAATCTTTCAAGCACCTGCAATGTGGGGGGAAAAAAAAGCAGATTAATATTGAGCAAATTTTAGCGATAAAAGCATTCAGGAGCACCGGATCTAAATGATGAATTTAGTCTTTTGAGTCCTTGTTGAATTAATATTATTCAGCTATAATTCTATAACTTATTCTTAAATGACTACACTGTGATTAAAGTCTCGCTCTCAGCAAACCTCTGTAGAAAACAAAAATTAATCAAACAAATAAGCACTCTACAGAGCAGCTTAGTACATTATATAGTAAAACACTGGACTGTGGTGATATTGATGCTATCTCTTACTGCTTATAGAAAGCAACATCGAGTTTAAGTCATAATAAAAAGTGCCCATTATTCATTCGTAATATGAACAGTCTTACAGAAAGGGGCTGAAAACATTTCTCAGCTCTTCCTTGGCAGATGAAAATGTATTAGGAGTCTGAGTGACACTTCCACCAGATCTTCACAGAAATCACAGCTGTGATTTTCCCTCGCTGGAAGCGAGCGCCACTTTTAGCAAAGCATGGCAGGGACAGGATGCGGAGCCAAGACGTGGACAATAGGGAAACGTTCTGGCCCAAGAAAGAGGTTAATTTGTATTGCCCAAATATGTATTTTCTCCTTCTCCTTCTAAAGAAAAGTTGGTGCAATTTAGATGCATGAATTTAAGGAACCCAGAGGCAACTTTAATTTCTGAGACTGTCACACAGCGCATTACCCTAGGATATACTGATCTTGGCAATATGATCGGGGCCGTGTTTTCACATGCGTGAGCATGTTGATATATGGTTTCCCAGCAGAGCGGGACGCACACAGACTTTTCCCAGCGTTAGGTGAGAGCGGATGCCAGACCCACCTTCAGCGGATCTGCAGTGCAAGATGGAGGCGATGCCGTGCTCCCACCCTGTCAGTGGCAGCTCTCCGAGTCCAGGGCAGCAGCACGGAAAAATGGCTCCTGTGTTTTTCTCCACTGCAAAATGCCATCAGGGGAGCAGCTCGTACTGTTCTGTTAGCAGTCTCACCCAAGGTACCGCTTCATTGCTGCAGCACATGGGCCCACTGCGCTGGGAAGTGGACCTGATGATTTACTGGAGTTGATGAACACCAGCATCCCCACGCCACAGCCGACTGCCACCCACAACGACAGGGACTAAGCTATTCAAAAACTTGTCCGCTCAACCTAGAGAAGTGTCTAAGCAATATACCCACCTTCAGACAGACTTGACTCGTGCACTTTCATGGGTTTATGTTGTAGAAAAAATTTTATTTCCTTTTTTGGTTTTACTAGCCCTGTGAGCACTTCAGCAGTTACACCTACTGCCGTTAACGTTAAGTCTCATGTTGCAAGGCCCAAGCTGACTATGTTTAAGATCTGCACACCAGACCGCTGCCCTTGCACACAGACTCACATGAGGCCACAGTGCATTTCTTAGTGCACCATTTCTTTTTCCTGAATGTTGGCTTTGATTTCTCCAGAAATATCAGTCTGGAGCTTTTACTAAGGGTAACTGATTTCAAAAAAGATAACTGTGTCCAAGGTGGTATTGTAGTGCTACGCACACCATGGCAACAGCATTTGCTGGTTTTAATCCACGGGAACCCTCCTTTGAGGTTGCCTGTGTTACCCATCTGTGCTTAATCCATGGTTTGGGTTTTCAGTGGTAACTAAAACCTTGTACTCGCTACCCTGGCTGCAAAGGACAGGCAAAGGAAAGGAGCTGCTCTCGCACAGCTTTGCCTCAGCCATGCTGAATCTGCTGGAAATCCACTTGCCTGAGGAGCTCTGCCTGGCCCTGGGACACAAAGACTTACATTCTCAGAAAGTCGTATCTGCCAAATCTCACAGACTTTTGCCCTGATTTTCATATACTTTATATTGTAAGAAAGTTGTAGAACTGAAAGATCAAAAAAGCACTCCCGTGTATGGAAGAAAAAGAAGGGGCAGGAGAGTGGTATGCAGCCTGTAGACAGAAATGGGGTGCAGACATTAACAGTTGTTCCTGCTCAAAGAGGAAGGAAGGTATTTGAGAGGGAAGGAGGAATAAGACATCACTAGACTGCTGTTTCACAGGCTGGACTGTATTTTGACTGCATTATGTATCCCTGTTCCTAGGCCTGCAACACGAAGACAAGATGCAACCCAGCCACAGGAAAGGGGGCTTCTTCCATTTAACTGGATAGCGAGAACAGGATTGACAGGTAGGATTTCAGACAGAGATGTGACTTCAAAATCCTTGCTGAAAACTTTTTAAAATCAATTTGCTTGTAAGACAAAACAAGCACGGGGGTGCCCTTGGCTTGCCTCAGTCCAAAGCTACGGAAGGCTGCATGTTAACATAGCACTCTTCTTTACCGAGCCAGCTCTCTGCAAACACACGATCCAGGTAGACATTACACCTTAGAGCACCGCACACAGAACAAAGCGATTCATTTTTGCTACCTACGTGCTCGAAGGACTAGACTGCAGGCTATAATCTAGTGTTAAAAACCTTGGTATCATCAGTTTTCTAAGCAAGAAACAAAACAGGCCAAATCCTGTAAACAATGCAGAGAATGTTTAAATATTGTAGAGTTTTAAGTGTAACTTGGATGAGGTTGAGCTCAGGACTACGCAGCAAGGCTCCTAAGGGCTGCTTCCACGTGTGCTGAGCACTGGTTTATATGCGCTGGTGCGTGCACACGACTAAACGGCATGTTGAACGTGAACAGATTTAAATGCCATTTAGTGAATTTGGCTCCATGCACATTACTTTTTCTCAAGGTAAGATACAGAGGGAAACCAGTAAGCGTCTCTGAATCAAATCAGAGCGACTTCCCTGTAAATATCCAAAGAGAATATGCCAAAAAGCGAGTATCAACTGTGATTCCCCTACGCATAGGGAGACACATACACAATATTAAATAGAGGATTTGTGCTAGGATTTAATATACTCTGTCTTCCAGTACTTTAAGCATATCTGATTTTGTTGGAAGGTTTTCCAAATAGAAACATGATATCTTCACTTACTGGATTTAATTTAAATTTTGCAGAATACTAACAAATACATTCTTAATTATGAAGACTCAATGTTGAACATATATAAGCATCACAGAATTTTCTCTAAGGTAAACTCATGTATCTCACCAGAGCCTGTTGCGAGGAGCTGAAAAAACAGTTCCGGCCTTAAGAAAACTCTATACCTATATATAATTACAAATGGGCATTAAATTAAGAGCTACTGTATTTTTTTTGGCTACCACTACCTACTCAACGTTGACATTTTGTTTCACATACACAGTTCTTGACACAAAACATTTATTGAAAATACTTTCCAAAGATCCAAAGAATTTATAAATATTGCCATTGTGCTGTATTGTGAAATTGTGAAATATATTCAGCAGGGCATAGGGAGACGAAAGCAAGGTATCTCAGCAAACAGCAGGCAGACTTACTGCGACACTCCTTGAGATTCTTTGGAAATGATTCTCCTCTTCCAACCACTACCCCTCCTAACCCATCTCCCTTAAGTCTGTGCATTTGCTTCACTGTACTTCCAGCTTCTGACTTAATACTGTTTTGCCAAAAAATCCTGGCAATGGGAAGGGCAGCGCCTATGTACTGACCAGAGGCCATCAGAGCCAATGGTAATTAGCTGCTGATTTCATCAGCCTTTGGTCTCAGAAATGCATCATTTTCCAGAAAGTGTTTGAAAACACTTTCTATTAATTATATAGTAAAATGATGTAATTTAGTAAAATGATGTAATTTAATAATATTATTTATATTGTAGACTCTTTGACAGAAATTTTTTTTCACAACATGAACTTGCAAAGAGACTCCGATTCTGTCTGAATTTTGACCGAATTCAAAACACATTCAAATAACAACAATAACTGGCATTCAGCTTTTACTACAAGCACATGTTTCCTACCAGTGTTCCACTTTGGATAAAACAGAGCCAAGTGCTAACTATGTGGGCATGCAATCCTTTGACTGGCTGCTTCCAGCGCTGAGACTGTCTGTGGCTCGCAGGGACCCTTTTCTGTTTCAGTTATTCTGATTTCTTGCATGCATCTAACTGTATCTCATGGACAGTGTGGCTGAGACATGAACACGCTTCCCTATCCACTTACCTTAGCTAAACTGCAGCTGCTCCCTTTTCCACCCAGCACAGTGATGAATTCAGCACTGTTCCCACTGCCAACAAATGGAGCTGCCTCCGACCCACCTCCAGCCTTCTATTTTTGTGGCAGCCCACTCCAAACCTTGCCAAACGTGAAATTTTTAAGGACTGTGCAAAATTAACCACAGGCATCAGACTGTTAAAGTTCAAGCAAATAAAACACTTGAGACTCTTGAACCAAAAATGACCAAAAAAAGGTGGGTTTAGAATGGTTTCAGACAAAAGCGTCTATTAGTGCACGGTGCACCAGGGAATGCTGCCCCAAGGAGGGAGGTATCTGTCAAATGCAGGTTGTTAAAACAATTCCATCCACCTTTACACAATCTGGTAACTCCGGATCTCCCCAAAATAATGTCAACTGCCAGCCTGGGAGATAAAGGGTGCCTCAGTTTCCTTGTAGTAACAACATAGGTAAGCAAGCGCTCTAGGTTCTTGCCCTCCCTTGCCTCTCTCCCCAACCTGTCTGGCCAGCCTGTCCCATGGGCCAGCTCTTCTGTGGGTGTCTGCCCACAGGGAAGTTTATCAAGACCACTAAGTCACTTCTCACAGCCCAGTTAACGTCTGCAGCCATGGCCTGTCTGCAGGGGATGGTAACTTTGGAAATATTCCCCTATAGGTTGATTTCACTTTCCATAAGACAAGTATTTGCAGCATATTTTAAAGGCATACATGCAAAAAACAAGAGCTCTGTTTTGCCCTTGTTAATTAAGGCACAAGTTAACAGCCTCATCAACACTGTTCCTTCTCCGCAGCCCAAGGACAGCTACAACACCAAAGCTTTGGCCGCAGTGGCAGTGATCCCTTGTGAAATGGCATTTCTTGCCCATAAGGCTGCTGCCTAAACACAAGCCACGTATTTATTTCTGCTACCATCCACCTATCTGTCCAGTTATCTTCTTTTGTTTCATATGTTTAATTTTAAACCTAATGTCAAAACTCTGAGTATAAAATGAAATACATTTTGTTTAAAATACTCTGGGCAATTTTTATAGAACATCCTTTTGAAAAAAAAAAAAGTGCAGAGATCAATTTTTTTAAGTCCATCCCGCAGGCACCATCATTTAATTATGAGTGAGACATAAATTATGCATTTACACATTGTTGCATTTTCTATAAAATGGTGTGGAGATTTTTTTTTGTAGTTTTTGGAACTCTCTCTTTCTTCCTGGGGGCACTTTGGAGGAAAAAAAAACCTGCTGCAGGCTATACATTGATGAAAAAATTAGCATTTATCAGTATAACACCATTATGAGACCAGCATGGCACTAACATACACAAAATCTAAATCTATTTTTCTGCTTAGACTTAGGAAAACCTGAAAGACTGTGATCTCACCAGGCAGAAAATGTCTCCTTGCAGTACAAGCACTGAAGGTAATTGGGCAGAAGCAAATAATTTGCATATAATTGAACAAGAAATAATAAAAAAACATGCCAGCAAATAGATGAGCCAGCACCAAAAGGCCATTACCTGCACTGAATTCAACCGGCAGTATCCGTTCAAAGGAAACCTAATAACGTGGGTAGGGTCCTGGTTCCAGCCTGCGTTTACGGAGTTGCACATGACGTCCCCAGTCTCTGGGAAGATCTCTTCTATTAAAGCTTTCTCCCCACTCAATGCAATTCTTTCCCCCAAATCTGGAGTCACTCTTACAACCAAGCAGTCACAAGGCTGAAAATGTTTCCTTTGTTCTTTCTCTTGTTTCCATCGCTCAAGTTCCTTAATCATTGGCTGCAGCTGGTAATACTTTGCTTCTTCATATAAAAGATTAAAGTCCTGGGAAAAAAAAAAAGAGAGGGAGAGAGAGAAACTAGAAATGCTTATAGATCTCTTTTAAAAATGAGTATTGTTCCTGTTTGACCTACTTAGGCTTATGTATTGTCAGCAAGAGTGCAAAGGCAACAGGTATCCACATACTTTGTCTTTGTCTTACACCTACCCAGAAAACCACACCGTGTTAGTGCTGAATCTATTTGAGCTGACCGTGAAGTTCCCATTGCACTAGATTATCCTTTCATTTATTATCCCACAAGCTCAATGCCAGAAGGCTTTACTGTTGGATTAAGAAATCAAAATAACTGGTTGCAATAAGGAAAGCCCGCTGGTGTAAGAGATGTCCTGAGCCCTCATCTTCACTCTTGGCCTCAGATACTCACTTCCGATCTTACAACAGAAGATCTTGGGCTTCGCTGTCACCTCTCGCTTCACTTCTCACCTATCTTTGCTGAGTCTGAAATTCAGCTACAGCAGCTCAGCTGCTCCCTGCATTTCATGATTATTCATGTATTTAAAGCGTACTTTGGAGTCTGGTAAATAATACAGAGGTAGCGACCATCCTGCCAGCTGGGAGCTCAACTGTGCACTCCAACGACTTGAACAGTTCTTCCCAGCCATTTGTCCATCACCTCACTTGGGCTCTGGGCAATTCAAATTTCCAATTTGATCCAACTGCTGGCTCAGTGAACGAGAAGTCTTCTGCACATCCTCATTAATAATGTTTCATTCTGACAGATCTTCCCACCTCAGCTTAAATGCATGAGAGAATGTTGAGGCAAAGGGTATCAGCAGCCCCTCAGACTCAAGGAGGCAGCAGTGCCCACCAGACCAAGCCAGAGAAGAAAGAGAGGGGGAAGCACCCAGCAGGCAGTTTGCTTACACTGGCCCCACCGCCTCCTTCAGCATCCTGAAGGGGAGAGGAGCAACAAGAGTACAGCACCAGCTCCTCTCTGCAAAGACCTGTCTTTTGCTTTCTCGGCTCTTTGCCTGTTCACAGATGGAAATGCTGCACCGCAGCTATGCTACATGACTTTCGTGGAGTGTGCTGTAGGTCAGACCTGGACATAAAGGCCAGTTCTCCCCCACTGCAATGGAATGAAATGAAAAATCGCAACAGTGAAATGACTGGAATCATTTGGACTGGAAAGAAGGGCATGACAAGAAGTAATCAAGAAATAGGCACCAAAATTACGTGAAAAATAACAGCAGTGCTGCTGCTCCAGGACTCAAGGAAGAGGGGGGGGTCAAAGGCCAGCAGCACAAAAAGGTGTGACACTTCACAGCGGCTTGGAATGAACCTGTAAAATCTGCTGCTGCAGGATATTATTGAACCAAAGCAGTTAGCTCTGTTCAAATTTGGCACCACAGACGCACCACCAGTAGTGGAGAGGTGCTCCTTCACCCCAGGGCTGCCTACAGCCTGGAGATGTATGAATATTCACAGTGACACCAGCAAGGTTATCGTTACAAAAGGGTCATCCGATCCTTTACATCTCTCTGATGTCTGTTAAGGCTGGGACAATATGCACACCACTAAGGGAGAAAAAAGGACCGTAGAATGCACAGAGAGGGAAGAGTGATAAGACCAAGTGGGAAGAAATGAGGGCAACAAACACACTCTCAGGAAGTAGTGGAAGATGAAAAACAGGAAGATTAAAGAAGAAATCATATAGAAAATATGTTGCAAAAAAACACGAGTTGGGAACAGACCAGATGAAGAGGCTTGGTGACTGTCTGCATTACCTGGTCTCAGGTAAGACACCATCAGCCCCAAAGCCTTGTCACCAGATGGAAGGTATTTTCCTCCTCCCTCAAATCAGCACTCTGCTGACCCACTACTGCTTTTCTCTGTCCACTGGTGAAGCTCCCAAGTTACTGAGCATGGGATCAGTTTGAACCTACAGGGATTAGTGGCCTAGATTAAAGAATAACCCCTGCCCTCAACTTTCTGAAACCTTCTTCATGTGGGACACCGGAGCAACACAGTGTATCACCTAACTGCGTTCATTACAGAGGTGTGTGCAGGGACCTACCAGATGTTCACTAGGCATCTGCCAGTTCCATATATCTCTTTTTTAAGCAAAGGAAAACATGCAAAGCTAAGGAAAAATGTAATGCTGTAGAGTGAACAGGAGCACCCAGTGCTTACTGAAGACAATGGAAAGTCTCCCGCTGTTTTCAGTAGCTCCTGAAAAACTAGTTTTAGAATATATGTGTTCAAGTCACTATAAAATAACATATTATTTGTAAGGTCAATCAAGTGAATATGTGCTAAGAAAACTCAACAGTAAAACCTAGAAGAGGTGGTAAGCGATATAAAAACCTGTCCTTCATTTCTGAAAGCAGAGAGAGGTACAGTGCTCCTGAGGCTGGATGCAAAGCCCATTACATTCATGAGAGTCTTTTCAACTGACTTCACTGGGCTTTGGACTAGCCTGACAGTATCCTGAATCACAGTTCAATGGTCCAGCACCCCCGGGCCAAAACAGTAATGCCATAAAGCAAACAAAACCAGGATCACACCACCTCTACCTCCCCCACAGCCAGCTATTAGCCCACTGCATGAAATGCAGCTCTTTAGTGACTCCTGCTAGCCATCATCTGTCCTAAAATAAACAAGATACATTTTATATTCTGATACCATTTTATGATAAGACAACCAGTTTTCAAATGAAACAGCTCTTCCACTACTGTTCCCAGAATGATACAGCCACGCTTCAGATGGCTGTGTGGAAATTGGGGCTGTGATGGAGCATCACGTGCTCCGTGGGACGAGGCGCGTGCCTGGTCATAACTGCCTGGGTTAAGCCAAGGTGTTTGGGTTAGTTTCTAAAATAAGACTCCCATCTTCATGTCCATTCCACACTTGGGTTGAGCACAAATACTCTGGAAAAGGGTTCTGCACCTGGAAGAAGGGGTTTCTAACAGAACCTGGGAATCTGAGGCATGCTGGTGTGAAGAGGCAATGTGCACGTGCGGTATTAAGGAGTCTGGGCAGCTATTGTCAGGCAGTGGCAATAAAGAGAATTTGTTGTGCTGCAACAAGTAAAGGGGATAAAAATGTGTCTTCTGCTAGGCAAGGAAAAATTTGTTGCTGTCTGCTAGCGACAGCACTGGGAAGGGACGCCTTCTGTGACCGCCCCCACTCCACCTACTGCATGGTGCCCCAGACCAGCTACCACCAGCACAGCCTGCCCCACTGTCCTGACCCACTCTGGCTCCTCTAAAACGACATGTGGCATTTCTGCACTGAGTGACTTGGGCACCACTGAGAAATCTGACAATGTATTTAGGGAGGGAAGAGGATTTTGCAAAACCAGGAACAAAAAATGAATGGCTAACAGCATGGGGGTCCAATTCTCTAAAGCCTGTGCTTGGGCAGCATAACGGACTCGACGCACTGCTAAGTACACAATCTTCTCGTTCAGGTTTTATATACTGTTCGGAATACTGCGTCTGCAACTGGACTAGAAGCACTGCCCAGCTCTGGATTGTCTCCACAGGATGCTCAGGGTGCCCAGGTAATACTGACATAGGTATTTCTACCCTTGCACTGTAGATACAAAATCCTACCCTGATGATTTGAAAAAGTTTAACACGAAATACAAAGTAGAAGAATTCAACCCACAAGGGACCTTGACAGGGAGGTGCCACAGGAGCTGCAAGAAAACATTTCCATGCTGCTCATTTTGCTAAGTTACCAAAGGCAGATGCAGACACGAATCCTCCTAGACCTATCCAGAAGAGGCACACTTCACTGAAACGGATACAGGAGTAGCTACAGGGTGCAAAGTAGCACAGTGGCAAAGGGCACACAGTTTCATTGAAACTCAGCCTCCAAGCAGCCTGGGACAGCTTCTGTCCCAGGCGTACACCGATAAATGGATACAGATACTGCACCCTCTCTCTCTCGGAGGCTCCAGCCCTGGCATCAGTGCAACATTGCTGAGTGGCAGGCAGCATCCCACAGCAGATTTTGTACGGTATCCAGGAGTTCCTTGTCCTGCAAGACTAATGATGCATCTCCCATTTCTTCTAAGGATTATTTCCCTACCTTCCCAACTTCTTAACAGCAGTGCACCTCGTGGCAGCACAGCCCAGAGTCAAGCACTGTATATGGTAGCTAATGGACCTGCTTGTGTTTAGCTAAGGAAGACTGCTTTACTCCAAAGGTAATTCCCACCAGCCAAGGTCCCTGCTCTTAAGCAGGGTGCTCCTTACTAGACTGAAAGGGGACATGGACAGTCCAGCCTCTGATTTTGCTGTAAAGTCCCACAAAAAGCCTTCATGAGCTACCATGAGCCTTCAACTTCTTGTGGCTGTTGTAGGAACCAGCAGGGAAGTTCTGTCAGGTCACCTAGAAAAGTGAGCAGATAACCAGCTGGGGTGCACACAGCCTTTCTCCATCCACAATGTCTGGATAACATTTAGATCTCATGGGAAAGGTACACAGATCTTTCAAAGACACAGCTTTTTGCCTTTCACAAAATAATTTTCTGCTCATGATTCAGTAGAAATGCCTTTTTTTTTTTTTTCTGGTGATTTTCACGTTGGCTAAAATCTGCAGTCACCTCTGACAAGCGTGACATCTTTCTGGGGAGGAGACTGTGAAGTGTGACTGCAAGGCCAGTTGGGCTGCTGTTTCAACATCAGTGCCAGTGGGTCAGTAAAGATCTGCTATCTACAGGCAGAGGCAGCCAACAGAAACTGTAAAACCATGTTTCTCGTGAACCTGATGCTGTTCTCTCAGTACTAAAGATGTCCTTTCCTTTATTTTTGTACCTAAAGTTGACTCCTGAAAAGGCTGAAATGGCTCTTTCTGCCCATTTTTCACTTGTTACACTTTGTTAAATGAAACAACAAACTATCATCCTGACTCAGCGTTTCTTTTATATTTCAGTGCTGTGAAGATCTGACTCCTAGCTACAAGAGAAAGTTATTCACTTCTATGATGATGACTGCACTATTTGCTAAGGTCAGTTTGAGAGCACTTCAAATTAGATGCGAGCACACTGATTTTAAAACTATATTAATAAATTAGTGTGTCAGCCTTGTGGTTCCGGTGCTACAGGTGACCTCTATAATCCATGTGAAACTCAGATGTCCTGTGCATTTCTGCTCCTCCCCTTCTTAAGATGGAGTAATATATATACATTGCCTGTGACTGTTTTTGTTTGATGATCTCTAAGCAGGAAGTAAGTCTCAAATAAGTAGTACGATGGGTCTTGGTTTTGTCTGAAGTTGTGTATTGGCAGTGAAGGGGACAGATACTGCTTATAAATGTTCTGGGGAAACACCTCTGATGGCAGGGGGAGATCAAGGCAGAGAATATTTGAGCTGCAGAGAAGGGGCAGCTCCTGTGCCAGCCACCCCCTAACCCAGCATCATGGCAGACCAGGGGATGCTGGCTCTACACTCTGCTTGAGGACATTTGTTGCTCAAGGTGTCATAGTCTCATGCACGGGACGCTGAACCAGTGCAGGAAGAGGGAGCTGTAAGCAGCTGCAGGATGCTTGCCATTGCCTCTCTTAGCACGGGCTGACTGCAAGGGGAAAAGGAGCCAAACAACTCAACGGTAATTTCTCAGCACACTTCATGTGGCTTAAAATCCCCCAAACCCAGGAAAATTATATGAACTATTAGTTGCTTTCAGCAGGGAGAGCTGTCAGATACTAAACACTTTCAAGTTCTGGCTTATTAGTAGTTGGAAGTGTAATTAATATTCACTGTAAACACACCAGTCAGACTTGATAATAAAGTATCACTAGCCTAGGAACACATAGCCCACTTTCTCTGCATTTCAGTGTTAACTTAGTCTGAAAACAACACTTAAATAGCAAACACAATAACGCTGGTGTGGTACTAACATTCCAAACTTTCCAAAATAACCATCTGAGCAGCAATTCAAGTTGAAAAGCAACTTGGCTGAACCTTGAGGCTAATAAACTGCTTGATTAAATTAAGGGGTAAAAACTAATAAATATTCAAAACACTTGATAATGCTTTGTTTGACATAAAGAACATTTAATGCAAGTCTCACTGGAAAACCTGTCAGGTTTTATACCTTAAATAGACTTTTGCATTTAGAAACACCGAGTGATTCCATTTGCTGCCTTTGATTATTGTCTTCTGTCACTTTAATCATGCTGGTAAAATTACACGATTTCTGTGAAGTCAAATCCGTTTACAATGCAGTTTTAATATAGCTTTGCAGCGCATTCTTCTATGCATTTTTATTTAGTTACTCCCTACCTAGCAATACTTTGCTTTGTTCTTGAGCCCTCATTAGCCTGGGGTTTGCTCTAAAGCTCTCCCAGGGAGGAACTAAATAAAATACAGTTAACCCTATGCAAAGAGATGGTCTGGAACAACGGACTGAGCCTGGGCACAGCGCCGGCTCTCCCAAGTCTCTCCCAGCCCTGCCAGCGGCTCGCTGCGCAGACAAGTCCTTGGCATCCACCGGCACTCTCACCTCCAGGCTCTTACTGAATCCTGCTGGGTTTGTTTCACAGCACCTCTGAAATCTGTATGCCAGCTGAGGCCATGATCGGCTTGAACTACATCTCTTCTACCCTCTCTTCTCACACCTTCTTGTCCTACTAGATTATTCAAAATGCTACTGCTAAAGCATCTCTCCAGCATTTCACCTGTATTGCTTCTCCATCCACCCGCCTTGATCCATCTTACAATCCACAGGACTGGTCTGGTCTTTAGCTTCATTCCTAACTGCATGTTTTCTCTCATTTCTCTGTAAAGAGCTTTTCTTGCATCCACCCCTCAATGCTCTGGCTCTCACCCTGCTTCACAGCACCCCAGCCCACAGGCAAGCAACCTGACCTGCCCACTGTTCCCCAGAAAGACCAGTGCTCAGGACAGCCCTTCTGGGCTGGAGCTCCAAAAGTGCCCATGAATGCTAAAACTTCTCCCTGCCTTGGGACTAGATGTGTGCTCCCATCGCACAGCATGTCTGTTCAACATTAACTGTAACACCCCCACGCCGGGATCAAATACAATTATACTCATAACTTAGGCAAAAATAGCTGAGGAGCACTTTGCAGCATGAGGATCAGCTGTACTCCAAAGCTGAAGCCACCACAGCAACCACAAATCTGGACTGACTCAGTCATGACTGGCCAAATTATCTTGCCTACCTAGTCCAACATGCAAAGTGAAATCTCACTGCACGGTGCAGGAACCTTCCTCTCCAGCAATGCTCCACTTCCTCTAACTGAGCAGATCCCCGTCGCCATCCCAATTTATTCATCATTTCATCCTGGAGTTAGTGCTTTTGTTGAATCTTGTCATCTACAGTTTGGACACTTTTGTCTTCTAATTTTCATACATAAGGATGACAGTGTTGCAAGTTTCGTAACTTTATTTGGCAAAGCCAAATAAACAAGGTTAGGAGGAGAGCGTTTAAACAATCAGGATTTGCAAAGCAACAACCAGCGCCATTATTTCATAGAAGATAATGTATTGCTCCTTAAAAAGCCCTCAGTAAATTCCATCTCCCAAGAAAATTCTGACATTCATAAATTGTGTAAAAGATTACTTCCTGAAATCAAAATATCTGCATCGGTTATATCTAACACAAATCCTCATGGGCTTCTTTAAGGGTGTTTCTTTTTTTATACCAACAAGTAAAAGATTTACACAATTTAAGTCCTCTAAGTATCGAATTTAAAACACTTCTTTCAGATTCTGAGCAATAAACCCTCGTAAGTGCTAGCTGCTGATGCTGCTTCTTAATTGTTGTTATACCCTGATAAATAAGCTAAAAATGTGAGAAAATACAATTAGTTTAGAAAAACTGATTTAGCCATAAGCTTCATCATTTAACTTTTTATGGTATCCATGACAACCACTGGTCCATTTATTAAATAACAGCATCCCTGGTGTAATACGCAAGTACTAAAAATCCTAATAATAAACAGCAACATTTAGTTAAGCGTGTTTAGGTCAAGCACACAAACCAACCTGCACCAAAACAAATGACAGAATGGGAGGAAAAAACAGGTTGCAGACTATAGCTTTCCTTACCTTAAAGTCATCTGGGAGCAGTAGCTTAGATGTCCTTAGGAAGCTTAATATATATCTGAAAATTTCACCATCTCGATCAATGAAATAATGTTGTTTTAAACTGTCCAAGACAATAGGCTCTGTGCCATTAAACAGACGACTTATTCTGAAAGAAGAAAAGAAAAAGAAATGGGCAAAAGAGACAAAATCTCATTACACCCTCAGGGCTTAAGAACATCCAGCCAATTTAGCTGTATCAATTCAACGTGCGTAGGGTAACGCAGTATCTTAATTTGGTGACAAACAAGTGCAAAAAGGCAGAGGCCTTGGACACATGTATGCACCCATATGCTCACACCCATGAAGTGTGTGTGCACATGCAGACATAGGCGCACGCACCAGCAGCAAGAGCCCTGCAGCTGCCCTGGCACTAAGCTTGCACTGCCCCAAATCAGGGCTGAGAATTAGGCCTATGATCCCAACAAGGAAAGTGCCTATGAAACGCTTACCCAAGGCTGGCAGAGTAGTTTTGGTGAGAACATGCATCACCAGCTCTGTTACACATCCCTGTCCACCATATCCTGCTAATGGAGAACTGAATGTTTACTCAGAGATGGGTTCCTGGCCATGAGCTTTTCCTCCAGCTTGGCTGTCATTTTGATCAAATGCCATCAAAGCCTTTCCGTGCTAGAGGAGAGGCTGCCCATACACTGAGATGAGCTGTATGGACCTGTCAGTGCTGGATAAGTGGCCAACCAACACTGAACGTTTTGGCAAACCACCAACCAATGGCCTGTGCAGCACCTGCAGCGCTGCCTGTGGGACCACAGTCACACCACCAGTAGTCCTGGGCATCAGTTTGCTAGAAGAAAGCAACATGGCAAATCTTTTGTGAGCAAAGAAAAGGAAGCGAGACCTATGAGACTGGGGGATCAGCTGGTTACAGGACCAAAACTGACTGCATCAGCTACATCACTCCAGCTTTCTCCAGGTCCTGAGGAGCATGCTTTGCAGAAAGCAAACCGGGCATCTGGCTGGCTGCTGTTCCTCCCGCCTCTCCCCTCTATAAACGCCTGGCTTCTCTCAGAACGCTTTGTCTTCCCATGAGAAATAACCCAGCTGAATACACGTTCTTGAAAGGAAAATCGCAGGAGACAGACAGCAACGACCTATTAAGTAATTGAGTCCATCTCTCTGACAGTGCAGCATTGTTCCCAACTGCAGAGTGTCTCGTGTTTCAAAGTCAAGTCTTAACCCTGCCAGTGAGGGACTTCCCCATTTCCCAGAGAGACTATCCCACAGCCTGCTGCATTTCACTGTCAAGCTGTGCCTCCAACTCAGCCATGCAGTGCCCCCATGTCCCTCGTCAAGACCAGGGCAGGCCTTTCCCCTGCCATGGATAAGCTCACCAAAACCCTGCCAAGGGCAATGGCGAGCACTGCTGGCGAATGCCACAGCCACAGCTTTGCTGCCTCCCTCCTTCCAGCATCACCACCCCACCTCAAAATTTCTGGCCTGGCAGTGAGGGGAGCGGATGTGAGAGACCACAGCCCGGCCGGGGAAGGCGCACGCCCACCCCAGCAAGGGTAAGGGGCAGGTTTGTTCCCCTGCTGCCGCCTGCAGTGCTGGTGCTTCTGGCTGCACCTCACTCCGCTTGCTTTGGGTTGTGGGTTCATGCAATACGGTAAGATGTGCTCTCCACAGCTGCACCTTAGTCTGATCTTCTAACTTTCTAATTTAGTTGCAAATTTAATTAACACGCCATTTATTTCTAAATTAACTGTGGAGATATTAAATAAAACTGGACTTAGCAAGTCCCCACTGAATTCAGCTAAAAACCTTTCTGCCCTCTTAAGCAAGCTCCAGGTTTTACCGCCTGCTCTCGTGTCCGTGTCAGCATTCAGCTAGTCTGAGTTACTTATGAGAATAACCAAATGCTCCCCTAAACCCTAATTATAATACATTTACTGCTTTTCTTCAACCTTTAGCTTTTCAACAGTATTAGAGAACACCATCTAGTTCACATTGCAACATTTAATTTATATAATCCCAAGGTTCAGTAAGCCTCCAGTAATTCATTATTTTATTTTTTGTTGTTATTTTAGGGCTATGTGCCTGAGACAGTTAAATATATTGCTTTGTACAGTGTTACATTTTATTCCAGGAACCAGACAGTTAATTTACTTCCTTAGACGCACACAGGAGCCCGTGTGCTGTGCTGGGTTAGACTGAAAGCAGAGGGAACACTGACAGAGCAGCTTATGGTCCAGTACAGTACATTTATTGAGTAAATTTGTGTGGCTATTGAAAGTTTCAAGATGTTACACCTAAGCAAGCTGAGCTGTGGCTTAAACCTCATCCCCTTCACTGCCTTTCCTCTTTGAAGTCTGCAAAAGCAAGGCGACGGCTGCTGCTCAGCTCCACCACGCGTATGGGGGAAGGTTTGCCAACAACGACAGGGTGCAGGGAAGACAGGGTACAAAATTTTAATGGGCCACTCTTTAATGTAGTGAAGCATTTTTTTGGTAATGAAAACAAAACATGAATTTTGAGGCCTTTGTGGAGTGCCCTGAGCTGTATTTCTTCACCAGCAAAATTACTGCTGGGGAAAGAAACTTGCAGAGTGTTGACAGACTTAACTGCCACCCCAAAAACAGAGTGATGAATAGTTTAAGGATTTATTTGACATTTTAGGGGGCTGCTATGTTCCAAGAACCAACTTCACTGCAGCACGTTGTAATGCTGCGTGTGGAAAGTGCTCCTGCTTCTCCCTTCTCACCAGTATAAACCACACCTGTAGAAAGTCCATCAGAAAATGCAACACTGTGAGAGCAAAAAGTGAACTCAAATGGCAGCCTCGAAAGGGAAGTTTGCCTGACAGGGTTTACTCATCACATGTGAAGCCATGAAAAAGACCACAATGACCACGAGCAGCTCCACAAGCCCCCCACCTGGACCCAACGTGCTCAATGGATTGGTCTTGGGCATCCAGAACAAAATGCTGCGCACAAAAGCATGGAAGCAAAATGCGCGCGAGCTGTCAGACAACAGGCAAGTCGGCAAGTGCAAAGGGATGAGAACGGTTTTGCACTGTGCAAACTTGCTGATACTCAATTAGAAATTAGGTACCAGCCCAGCTGGTAGCCTCGGGAAGCTGCTCCCTTCAGCTCCCTGCTATGTGATGCAAGTTAAGTCATGGGGACAGGCTGCAGCTCTCAGACTGGGCAGCAGTCACCCCAAAAATGGTTGGTTTTATAGGCAGTCGTGGTGCCCAGTACTGTAGTGGTGGCCAAATTGGGTAATGGCATTTTCGGGAGGCACTTGCTTATGGCATGCAGAAATGATACTTCCAGTGATGTTTGTGGAGGTGGGAGACACAGGAAAACAGAGATGAGGCAAAAAGAGCTGCACTTGGATCCTACAGCAATGGGTGAGTCTGAACAATGAACCCTTCTTCAGCATTCCCACCTTTTGCAAGAGATGCAAGATTTTCTTTCCAGACAGGGAGCAGATCGAGCCAGGATCAATCCAAGGAGTTGCAAGCCTAGGATGGCAAGCTTGCCTTTCCATTGCCTCCACCTCCGTGGCCAGGTCCCGCTATGCTCCCATCATCTTCCCAGTGCATGGCTCTTCCCAGCCATCTGTTCCTCCTCCTCAGTTGCTCCTGCCCTCCTGGCAATGTGCTCTTCCCTGCTGCCTGGCCACCAATCCACTGTGCTGCCCATCCCGACCCTCGCAGGGCCACTGCTCCCAGTCACAGCTGCATCATGTCCCTGACAGCAGAGCCACACTGGGGCTGGCTCTAGCTTAGGGGGTCTTGCTGGCACCTCGAGCCTCAGCTGGATGCTCTTCCTCACTTCTCCCAACATCCAGAATACAACCTGTTGATCCTATTTCTACTATTTCTTTGTGCTTCTGTTGTTTCTGCTAAAGGCTTTTACATTTTCAATAATGTTTTGCCAAAACGCCAAGGGGTGAGTTTCTAGCTTTGTACCGATTTTACTATGATATTAAGATCTCCTTTTATTAGATTAAAAACAAACAACGCAGCCAGCCAACCCACAAGGACAAGAGTGCCAGTAAATTCTTTTCTCAGTTTCTTGGGCAGGGGAGGAAGCCGAATGCTGCGTGCACCTACAGAGAGCTGCTGCTACCCACCTCGCTCCCCCCCCACCCCTGTAATGCTGGTGACCAATTTTCCACGACACAAGCTCCCTGCAGCGCCTGCCAGGATGGGAGCAGCGGGAGGCCCGCAGCGCAGTGCCACCAGCCCCCACAGCAGAGCTCATGGCACACCACCTTTTTCATAAACTCTCCCAACTCCATCTCAGAAGCAACCAGGGCTTTTTGCACGCCCAGCTCCCTCTGGAGCACCCTTGGCCTTCCTGAGATCACCACAGGGCACAGCCATGGCTCTGCACAACCCCGCAGGGGGTTTAATACAGCACTTTGGGATGGGAAATTTGGGCTGGTGGTGGTGCTTTCTGGTTTGGGGCCAGTTTAGACTTTTTTTTGACAGCTCTCTTTATGAACAGTGAATGGAAGTTCTTTCTTAATAAATCCGGTTCCAGAGGCTTTAAGAGAGCACTCGGTATTGTGGGACCTGTGGGACACCCAGCAGCTAGGGCTGCGGCAAGCACCAACAGAGCCCCCTGGCTCCTGAGCCCCACCGCTGGTGGGGGGCCACTGTGGTCCCGTCCCTCACCACGCACCCGCCCAACCAGCACAGCAACACCGCATTAAGTAAAACTCTCTATCACAACATTGCACTAAAAGTATTAATTTAAGTAATTGCGTGATTAATATTTAACTGTTCACTGATATTTTTGTCATTCATAATTTAGTTGTTTACATTTATTAAAAATTGATTCTGTAGACACTTTTTCTGCCCAATGTCAAATCAGCAGGGAGTGTACATTTCAGCAAACTGTCATTAAAATGTGTCTCTCTCCTAATTTTATAGGAGGAGAGGGGAAGAAGAGAGAAATGCATGTCCGTGGATCCTGCAAGTGTGCGGGTCTGGGCTCCACTCAGTGCCCTCCCCTGTACCTGCCACTCCTCCGTGCACCCTCCTGCTCCACTCAGCACAAACACACAGCGAAGTTGACATGAGCTCTGCAGCTCTCTCTGCATTTTATACGGTGGCTGTCAGTTGTACTTGGCTGT